GCCCCCTTTTAGGCGATTTTTGTCTTTATGATTGGGGCATGCTCGTTCGTTTTTGAGAAGTTATTGCCCCAGCACGGCCAAGAATCCAACACCAAACGAAATGCAAGAAAACATGCAGCAGCATAGCATGACGTATTTGTGGAAGTGGAAAAATGTACAGCAGAATGGCGTGACGTTTGGGTGAAGACGCAAAAAACACGTACGGCAGCATAGCATGGCACACCTATGGAATTGAAATAACGAGAGTGTGAACAGCGGGAAAGCATGACGGCAATGTGGAAGCGCACCAAAACTCCATAATGTACAGCGACGTGGCATGACATATGTGTGGCAAAAAAAACGTACAATGCGTACCATGACGCACGTGTGGAGGTCCGGTAAAATATACAAGCAGCAGCGTAGCATGACGCGTTTGTGAAAGCCAAAAATGTACAGCGCCGTAGCATTATGTTTGTGCGGAAGGGCAAAAAGAAGGGTGGGCGTAGCATGACATATGTGTGGAAGTTCCAATGAACGTTATCACCCCAGCTCACCCCACCCCACCTTCCACCGGCCTAACTCCAATGTTATGTTGATAGTACAGTTAAAAATGTAACTGTGAAGTTTCATGCCATGCACTTAGGTTTCATGCTGTGACATACCTTCCTTTTTCATTTTCACCATTTCAACTTGATGTTTGCATGTCAGTGAAACTCGACCGAGTTGGAATTCATTTGCCTTTCCTTGCCAACTGGTTCAAGGGTGGGCGTCGACGTTTCAATGGCTGCGCTGGCTCTTGTGAAAAGAGTTCATTGCACTTTGACAGCTGAGCACTTCGTGCGTCTTGGCTTGACGGTTGGACCTCAGCTGCCGTCTTTGCATTGGTAGCGGAGCCGGCTTTCTACGGCTGGCTGAGCCCAAGCTGGATCTTGGGAGCTGGACTACTTTCTTGTGAAGACCAAGTACCTTGGTCAGACCTTCCAGCCCCACGTTTAGATCCTGGAATTCGAAGGTGTGATCACACAATCATGAGTGCTTCAGCATCGCCGATTTCTGCTGAAGCGAACCCAGGCAGTTTGTTGAGGGATTCCTTCATCCCGACCTTCACAGGACAGCCTGAGGACTATCGGGAATGGCGTCGTCGAATCACGCTGTACCACCACAAAATGAAGTTGGGAAAACGGGGTGGTGAATCCATTCTGAACATTGTGAGTTCTCTTACTGGTGCTGCAGTGCGTTTTTTGGAAAACTTTGATGTTGCGACTGCAGAAGGTGAAAATGCGTTTGATGACATCATGAAGAAGTTGGATCAACATTTTCAATATGATGACAGAGTTCATTTGCCTGGGGACTTTGATGCATATTTTGGTATGTCCCGCAAATCTGGACAGTCGATCATGGAATAAGTGAGACTTCATGATGAATACAACCGTAGGCTGCAGCGACATGGCATTTCAAGGATGGCACTTGCTTCGAAAGTGCAACTTGACCAAGGAACAGCGCCAGCTCATCAATCTCCGTGCCCCTCAGTTGGAAAAGAAGAAGGTCATCGAAGCTCTGTACTTGGTGCTTGGCCAAGACCATCGTGCCGCATCAGGTCCACTTCTTGAACGTCGATGGCAAGGAAAAGGGCATCGTGGATGGTCCTACAACGTCCAGGATGAGTACGTGGATGATGAAATTTCAGAGGCATGGGATGAGTCTGGATACTATGAATGGGATCCTTCACCATCTCACCATGATGAGGCTGAGTACTACGAGGACCCCGAACTTTTGATTCAAGCGCTGCATACTACCAATCTGATGATGAAACTGCTGAAGAGCATCCCTGGCATGACGTGGAATCATATGACCAGGCATATGCAGCATACTTGGAGGTTTCAAATGTCACCGACCGAAGATCCAGTTTGGAGATTAGGGTCGTGAAAGAGCAGATCCAGTCACTTGGAGGGACGCTTCGTTGGGTTTCCACCGACAGACAGCTGGCTGATGGCTTGACGAAAGCCAGCATGCGCCAGAACTTGGCCGACAAGTTGCGGCATGGTCGCCTGAAGTTCCTCTATGACCCTGACTATGTGGCCGCGAAGAAAAAGACAGTTGCTGAGCGAAAGTTGGAACTTGAAAGTTCCTCAAAGAGCCGAAACGTGAAGAAGAAAGTGGCTGCGTCCGAAAGACGCATTCTGGATGAACAGGAACAGTGGAAAGTACCCACCAAATGAGGGCGAAAGTATGTCAATTTGGTTCCCACTGCAGCTGTAGCAAGCTCTCTGGCCCTGCGACGTGCTTTGCAGTGTTTGAGCATTTTCTGGCTGTGCCTTGCTGCGTCTTCAATTCCTGCAGCTCAAGGCCTTGTGATCGAAACTGACGAAACTGATTTGGGTAGGTTCAAGATACCCCTGGATATCAATATGGATCAATTTTGGATACTCATGGTTTGTGTGATTTCTTTTTGTTTTGGTTGGTATGTTGGAACGCGCCGACAGCGCGAAATTGCGAGTGCGAGCTCTCAAGCACTCACCATGGAAGTTGATGAACTTCAAGCTGCAGTTGCTGCGTCTACGAACCGAGCGAATGGGCTGAGCATAGTGCTGCAAGCCAATGGGATGCAACTGGAGCGTGTGAGCGCTGAGCTTCAACGGGCCACACAGGCCTACCAGGGTGCCATGAATGCTGCTCGTGAACACCAGCGAGCTTTGCAGATTGCAGCTGGGGATTTGAACGACGGGTACCAGGCGCAGATGGATCTTGAAGACCATAGCTTGGTTTGTGCGATGGGCCACCCGATCTCCATCCAAGATGGCACCACCATTTGGCATGCGAACGAACATTGCGAGCAACTCTACGAAACTGGCCGCGAAATCCGCGATGTGATGCCATGTGAGCGTTGCAGTTCAGTGTTTCGTCTTCCTAGGGAGTAAATTCAAGGGAAACTGTTAAACAACTTTCCCCCCATGTGAAGTTGCATGCCATGCACTTAGGTTTCATGCTGTGACATACCTTCCTTTTTCATTTTCACCATTTCAACTTGATGTTTGCATGACAGTGAAACCCGGCCGAGTTGGAATTCATTTGCCTGTCCTTGCCAACTGGTTCAAGGGTGGGCGTCGACGTTTCAATGGCTGCGCTGGCTCTTGTGAAAAGAGCTCATTGCACTTTGACAGCTAAGCACTTCGTGCGGCTTGGCTTGACGGTTGGACCTCAGCTGCCGTCTTTGCAGTAACAACAATCGCGGAGGTTCGGAAATGCCCGGCGCCCAAAACAAGTCACAAATATTTAGTGTTCAAGCGAGATCCGCCTCTTTTTGGGTCAAGCTGTGCTCTGAAGATGGTTTGTTCAAAGTAAAAAGACAGAAGTCTTTTACCAAAGAGAACCAAGGGGGTGGAAAGGCTGCCACAGCAAAAAGCCCTCAGTTGATGAGGTCCACACGCCCAGCCACAGCAGCCTAGACACCTCCCCAGCACTCAGTGACACGGAGCAAGAACGCAAGCCACATGAGTGCTGCCCCCACGGGTCCATACCCAACACAAATATCAAGCACTCAGACACCGGTGTCACCCCAAGTGTGGAGGTGGGGTTGGAGGTGGCCTTGAAACCAAATGCTACCAAGAGTTGGATCAGCTATCACACTATCAGAAAGGAGGACCGCCAGCTAGTGTTCAAGCGAGATCCGCCTCTTTTTGGGTCAAGCTGTGCTCTGAAGATGGTTTGTTCAAAGTAAAAAGACAGAAGTCTTTTACCAAAGAGAACCAAGGGGGTGGAAAGGCTGCCACAGCAAAAAGCCCTCAGTTGATGAGGTCCACACGCCCAGCCACAGCAGCCTAGACACCTCCCCAGCACTCAGTGACACGGAGCAAGAACGCAAGCCACATGAGTGCTGCCCCCACGGGTCCATACCCAACACAAATATCAAGCACTCAGACACCGGTGTCCACCTCTCCCCAACCTAGCAGGCATCTGCTGCCACAACTGGTAGCCCAAGCTCAAGCATGCTTGCAGGAGAGATGATGCAGCCAGAAAAAAGGAAAGTTCGCAAGCTAAAAGTGGGGGGCGAGGGGGGCATTAAACATCAAAGTTGAAACGAGGCCGGGCCAGCGTTGCCAACCTTAGTAAACGTTGCCTGACTGGACCTTCAAGTTGGATCTCGGTCAACTGTGCTAAAGCATCAGTGATATAAATCCGAGCCGTACGGATGTGATTCCACCGTCCGATGAAACAGACGCGGGGGAGGTCATTAGACTGACGGAACGCAAAGCTGGCTCCTCCCCTTCGGAGAGAATACCATTGAAACCCGTGCGGGAGGCCTAAGTCAGCAATTAAGCTTTTCAACCGTTGCCTCATGACACCTGGGGAAGAGGATCGAAGCAGATCTCCCGGAGCCAAATTTGCCACAAAGTTTCTAAGAGCTCCGATAAGCCACATGTCATCGATGACCAAGGACTCATGAGCACCCGTCCTTTGCCCACCTTTAGTCAAGGGAAGAGACCAAACCAGTCGAGTACACGAAGAATTCCACGTGAAGTCAGCCTTCTTAGCACAGAAAAGTTCACCAGTCCGAGCATATCGATCAAACCCCAGGAGAAGAAGGAGTGCAACATCAGGCCATCCCTTTTGAAATGCTAACTGCGCAAGAGCATAAACAATGACCGGAGTGAACGGGAGTGCACGTGCTGGGAGCTCTGTGCGAGTCCAACTACCATGAAGTCTCCAAGATCCAACTAGAAACTTTTTGCACTGCGGGACAAAATGACCCAGCCCTGACAAGCAATCACTAGCAAAACTTTTAGGATCCCGGTTGTGCCACAGCGACTCAATGAATTCTGAAACACGACAGTCCAATGCAGAGAAGGAGGAGGGGTATCCGTACTCATGCATTTTCAAAAAGGCAAGGAAACGTGAAACTGCCTCAAGATATCTCTTATGTGTTGCAGGTGCCACTACCAACTGTTTCAACGTACCTAAAGCTCGCCGCTCTCTTTTTCGCTCTATCTGGCATCGCCTCCCTAGCACGTGTTGCCGGGGCATCAAGTCATTCTGCGCTTCTTGGCCCATCGACTGGGCCCATCGGCTGGGTTCCATTTGCTCTTCACCCAGGCCAAACAGAGTCGAAAGTGAGCAGCAAGACATACGGCACTGATTCGACGGAGCGGCGCCTGCAAACTTCGGGATGAACTGCGTCCCTTGGAGAGGCAGGACAGAGCCACCATGTTGTCCACCAGGGTAATGAGGCGATGACCCTGGTGTTTTGCGTCACGTCCCTGGCGCCGGAGAAGGTCCAAAATGGCTACCAGCTCCAGGGTATTGATGTGCTGCCCCTTCTCCTTCCATTCATAGGACAGCAAAACCTTCCATAGCCAGTGAGTTGGATCGACGCTTTGTCGACAAAGCTCACCCACCGAAAATGGAGTTCCCAAATCCACTCGGATCTCTGCACTGCGGTGGGTTCCATTGCGGGCAAGGAGATAGGCCAAAGCCTCCTCGTCCGTCATCCAACCCTGTGGATCGACCCAGGGCCGCAACAGCACCAAAGGAGACGGCAACACCTGCTCACGCAGGCTCACCGCCCCTGGCGTGCCGGCAGCCACCGAGCTGAAACGGACCTTCCAAGGACGATCCTCTGCAGTCACTTTGTCCTCCTTCGTTTTCCACACGTTCCAAAGGGCGAGCGTCACATCAGTGTTGGCACAATCTGCCTCTTCTAAAACTAATCCAACCAGAAGCCTGGCCACTGCGATGGCCGAAAAGCTATTGCCGATCAGCTGACCCTTCTGATCCTGACTCAGCCGACTTTTTGTTGCCAAATGGTTGGAGGCAAAGCCCATCATCCGGAGTTGCTCCTCTGGCAGCGGCCGCCGTGGCCCATTCCGGTCCTTGACCAGGTTGCGAGCCTCATATTGGTAAGGCTGCAGACGATAAGCATCTCCCTTCCAACGCTTTTTGGCCTGCTCTGTGGCCTGCTCCAGACCAGCTGGAGATGGTGCTGGTTGCGATCTGGCAGTTGGCCTGGTGACGGTTGCAAAGGCATCCTCCACGTCCGCCATCTTAACGGCATCGGAGTTCAAGAACCAGCTCATTGGAGGCCTTTCTGTGTCAACATCCACTTCATTGACCTCATAGTTGTGCCCTCGCATAGGAACGTTCCTGACCACTCGGACGTCCACACCAGGTATTATCTCCACATTCTTCATCCAGTAGAGCCGCGGTCGGCGGCATCGACCCACTTGGGCTGCTTCCAGGAAGTAGGCCGGGAATCCGATCTTCCGAGTTTGAATGGCATAATCTTCATCATCCATGACGACATTTTCATAGAACTCGATCACCTTCCAAGGCTTGAGGTTCAGCTCCTGAGAGGCTTCCATCAGCCACGTTCGCACTTGGAGCATTGTATCCAAGAGCTGGCTGCTCGCTCCATCTGCTCCTCTACGGTTCACATTCAAAGCAGAGTGGTTGATGCAAGGCCAGCCTCCACCCAGCAAAACTTCTTCTGCCCTGGCAAAACGTCTTCGCCATTCCAGGACATCTGCCTTGGTGATGGAGAGCGCATCTTTCACCCAGATGCAGTGCCGACAGTGTTGACGATACACTCTCATGCATTCTGCCGACGTATCCACGGCCACGACGCCCATGGGCTCAACTCCTAGGAGCTCCAGGGCCTGCTTCAAGCCGCCCATACCTGCAAACATCTCCACTACCACCATCTTGCGAGTAGCTTGCCCCTCAAGACCTTCAGCCTCATGCGACAGGCCCTGCAACCTCGACAGCCCCCACGGGCTGAGGCCAGTGCTGACACAGGCACCTCCACCTTCCAAACTGGCATCGGTTGCATACACCTGCCCAGACACCTTCAGCCTCAGGTCCATCCAGTGCATTGGCAGCCCGGCTGTCAGCAGCAGAAGCTCATCCATGGCCTCTTGCGAAACAAACCGAGGCACCGCCCTGTTCAAGTCAGCATACAGATGGTCAAACAGGCACGTCAAGGGCCGGCAGTATTGCACGCTATGCATGTTCTTCGAAACCACAGACTGCAGGTTGAGTGAGTCAGTACGGACCGACTCCCCGCCCAGCAGCCCAAGGTTCGAAGAGAGCAAGGCTCGCCTGAAATCCAGGGAGCTGCCAACCCAGCCAGCCTGGCCGTCAACCTCTGCCCCCAACGTCGTCCAAGTGATTGTACCTTCGGCAGCCTTCTTGGGATCACGTCCGACTGTCAACTCCTCCATTTTCTCACGCAACAGCAATTGCTCACTTGTTGGTTGCCCTTCATACAGGCCACGATCTGTGCGCCACACCATGGTCAGCTGGTCGAAGTTGTCGACATAAAAGGAAAAGAAGCTGCGGGGAGTCTCGAGGGAAAGCATTGGACTTGGCTCCCCCATCTTCACCATTTGAGATGGACTGAGCCCCGCCTCCCTGGCAATGTTCTCAAATCCATCCTGGATAAAGTCGACCACATTGTTCCAACCCATTGGTGCGCTCTTGACCCGCGGGTAGCTTGCGCTAGAATCTCCATCTCCAAAAGCCCAGCCGGCTGCTTTCCGGTTTAGGCTGAAAAAGCTCCGCCAGGCATATCCGGGCCTGTAAATGTGAAAGCAGTGCTTCTGATCTTCTGCTGCGCAAATGATGATCTCGTCATCGTGTAGGTACAAGTTGCCCCACAGAGGAGCGTACCCCATTCGTTCACAAGCTCTGATGGGCATTCTCCTCTGAAAACTGTTGCCAGGGATCATGTTTATGATCAAGCGGAGGGTCCTCAACCAGCTGCCATCTTCTTTCAGAACCCACTTTTTGTGAACTCCAAAAGCCCCATTCCTCACAGCTTCATCCTTGTACCGCAAGGTCTCACTCGGGACTTCTCGTTCCAGCATACCTGCCGCCACCAGGTGGGCCACCACCTTGTTCCATTCTTCCTGCGACTCCACTTGGACTGCAGCTGAGATCCTGGGCGCCACCAACTCCTCATCGGGAATGCGCAAAAGGTCAGGGTGATTCACATATTCTTGAACCCCTGGGCTCACCACATCCGCCAACGGGATTCGCGCAGCATCACCAGCCCCCGGCGTGGTCGGCAAAATTGCCTCCAAAGTCAAAGGGTATGATTTACCAACTGATGGCCCGGTGTACAAATCACCGAGTGCTTCAGCCACGTTTTCCCATGTGTCCGCCTTGATTCCTTCATCATCCTCATTTGCTATCCATCTCTCTGACCAAGCTGTCACCTTGGCTAAAGACGCTTGTTGAGCCGCAGTTGGCTTCCTTCCATGCAACATCCCATCGGTAATCATCCGACCTCCCGTTCCCTGGCAGTACAGGAAGTTTACCACCATGACTTGAAGCCAGCTCCATGCGTGGCAGCCAATTTTCTTCACCTCCACGTTCAGTCTCTCCCACTCTCTTGCATCATCATGCTCCGGTTCCGACAAGCACTTCTTCACCGCCAATTCCAGGGCCTTTCCTGGGTCATCCAAAGTTGGAAGTGGAAGAGGCAGCAGCTCCACGGAATTTCGCTGAAAAGCCTCCAGAGCACAGCAAGCCAGGGCCCTAACAAAGTTGCCCAGCTCACCAGGGCGACACTGAATGCACACCTTCAGCACCACGCCTGTCATACTCAACGACATTCCTCGACTGCAACCTCGCCTCCACATCTGCTTCCAACCAGATATAGACAACCTCGGTGCTGCCTGCAGCCCAAAGTGATTGATCAACCATTCAGCATGCGCAAGGTCATCACGCCGCACATACAGGCACTGCCCTTCCAAAGAGCTCTTCACCAGCTCCCGGTCCAATTGTCCCACAAAATCTCGGTGGTAAATCGTCGCGCCATACTCTTTGCATGGGCGTCCAATGTACACACCATCCTCTCTTTTCCAATCCACGCTGGCCGTCCGGATTTCGATCCCTTGCACAACCTTCAGGAGCTCGCCTTCCCCTGATCGAGGATCATCCCCAACCAGAGGGCCGCGAACCCCCAAAAGGCTGCAGAGACCACTCTCACCATCCGGCATACGCTCCTCCAACAAGAAGCGTGCACCAGCCTTCAGTTTTTCTTTCACTTCCTCAACTGGGTCTCCAGCAACATCCGCCACTGTCTCAAAGAAAGTGTATTCAACTTCACTCCAATGGGGAGATTTCTCTAGCGCTCCTTTCACCAAGGTGAACAACTCCACAATCTCGGGGTCTTTCATAAACTCCCTCACCTTGCTTCGAGTTGATTCATGAATCTGACTCTCCTTCATGGCTTGCTCTAGTGCCCGATAGCCCAACTCATTGGCCGCAGCATCTTCATTCACCACTTCCCGCGGCCCTTCTTGCCTTTGCCTCTTCCTTTCTTCCCCTTTCCGGGGCTCCCCCCATTCGAGGGTGGTGTGTCGTCTTTTGTCTCGCCTTCCTTTTTCTCGGCGCCTCCTACGGCTGCGTGACTTGGTCCCCAAGCCTGGCGCCTCCGCGGCCACTGATCCTGCTGCAATCGCAGGTCGCTCCTCTGCTCCTGCTGAGCCGCCTTCAATTCTTGACGGAACCATGCCCGCTGCTCTTCCTCGGGCACGATCAGCTCGATCAGGTTGGCCTGCCCCCATTGACCTTGAGCCACAAACAGCTCAATCGACTTGATCCTCTGCACTGCCACGTCCAGAGCCCGCAGCAGATCGTTTTGAGCTATCATGTCGACCAAGGTTGTCAGTGTTCGCAACTCTCGAAGGTTCCTCAGTCCTATGGTGCCTTCTGGATGACGAGGAAGGTAAATCTGGCTTAGGTAAGCCCTTGCGACCGGTGGCATCTCCTGGTCCTTCACCGCCGTTCCCCCGCCTGTCGACCTCTCCAGCAATTCCTGGAATCGGCGCAATGTCAGATTGGCCAACACCCCAGGTCTTTCCTGATGGAGCCGATGGAGACGGTCTGTCCCCTGTGGCAGGGCGGCTAGGCGAAAAAGCGAGTCCGAAGAAGAACTGGTTGTTGAAGAAGACTCATCACTTGAATCATCGGCTTTCCTTTCCTCTCCCTTCCGGGCTCTCCTCCGTTCTTTTTCAGCCTGCCTCTTGGCTCTTTTCTTATCCTTCTTTTTCTTCTTTGAGGCATTAGCATTTCTTATCTTGAGGGCGCTGTCTGCAGGTTCAGGCGCCACACGCTGAGCAATCACGCCTTGAAGTCCACTCGCCTTGGGGCTGGCGCCCTTCTCCTCCTTCTCTTCACGGGGTCTCTCTCCTCCCCTAGCGTCGGCCTTGGCCACTGGTCTGTCGCCTCCTGGTGCCGCTCCACCCTGGCTGCCTAAGGCTGCAGCAAGCCCATCTATGCCTTCAGCGCCCGTCTGCACATCCTCGCGTGGCCCCGGCGGGGGGTTGCCATCTCCAGGAACCCCAGAGCCAGCGCCCCCACCACCAGGAACCACAATGTTGCTGAAGTCAATCAGCTTCTCAGCCTCGTCTCTCTTCACTCCCTTCAGCCAATTCAGAGACTCATAGCTCCGTCCCGGAAGGATGCGAAATACATCCACATGTATAGGATCACGGTAAACCGTGGTGTCAGAGCAATGATGCGCTTGGCGTTGGCAGAAATGAAGCGGCACCACTTTGGTAGGAAAGGTGGTGTTGACCCACCATTCATAGTACCCATCTTCAACTCCAACAAAGCGACTCAGCCACGTCTGACCTTCACCGGGTTGCACCTCAGTCCCCCGTTCCTGAAGCTGGATGAGGCCTCTTCCTTGTTGTCTCCCGCCATCATCATAGAGAGACACTTCGATTAGGGTCAGCCTCTCAAGACCCAGCCAATGGTCATTGGCTGCTTTCCTTCCAGTTCTTCTCCAAGGCTCTGGGGCACTCATGAGCAAATCTCCTTGTCGCCCCCCTTCCCGGTACGGACCAGATCGGGAATAAACTCAGAGAGCCGCCCACAAGTGTCCAGAGCCACCTCTTTCACCTGATCCCTTGAAACCAAATGCTACCAAGAGTTGGATCAGCTATCACACTATCAGAAAGGAGGACCGCCAGCTGGGTGGATGCGGCAGATTGCATGTTCAAACCGGGAACAAAAACCACCACCACTTTAACTTTAACAGCCTCAACTCCCACAAGCTGAAGAATCGCTCGTTCCCACCACCACGCTCGTGCACGCTTTCGGCCTGTGAACATGAAAATGCGCAAGCACGGACGTGTCGCATAGGCATAGCTGACCTCGTAACTGCGTCATGGCCATTTTGCAGTAAGTTGCAAAATTACAAACCGCACGGTGGCGGAAGAGGGTCAACCAATTCCACAAGTACGGTTGCTGCAATAAAGGCGCAGGTATTCCGTGTTTTTTTCCTCAGACTTGCGCCAATTTGCACAAATTTGACACCGCATGTAACTGCGTTCCATTTTCCACACAAGTTATGACCAAACAAGAGCCCTCATCTAGAGCACATGTTTTTTTAAATACATGTTTGTCTTTACGCCACATGGGCACGCAGTTGCTGCAGGTCCACCCGGGCGAAAAACCACCAGCACGTTTTACCACCAGAGAACCGTCCCAAACCAACAATCATGTATTTTGCGCGCTTTCTTTGTTTTACTCCCCATCAGCCGGAACAAAAAAATGAAACTGACGTTTTGCAGCGAAATTTGTGGATGTGTTTTTTCGTGGTATTTTTTAAGACTGCTAGCGCAATGCCCCAGAGGGCAGCTGCGACAATCTCCGCAGGAGAAACTGCTCCATGGAAATTATACTTTTTAGCTGCAGCAGATGGATATGGACAAGTGACAGGACTGTGTGTTGTGGGTGGCATGGGGCGGTGACCTGGATGGCCAGGACAACGGCTTCTGTGCTAGCGCAGGGCAGCGCGAACAGGTGGAGGAAGGTGTCTGGAGCAAACGGTGTGGATTTCGGCAAAGACCTGGGCACGGTTTGTCGCCACTAAAACCTCTGAACATGGTGGCGAGCTGGATGGCAGAAACTTCATCCCCAAGCAAGCGGGACAGGGTGTCGACAATGAACCCCGAAACCGGAAGCGTTGGAAAGTTTACGTGCTGTTACAAACCGGCGGCAAACATAGTTAGATGATTTTTTTTTTTGGTTTGGCATTGTATTGTTCACTGTTTGTGCCAATGGATACCGACATGGCTTCAAGTTGTGACTTGTCTCTATGATCTGGCCTTCGGAATTTTTACAAACATGGCTAAACATGTTTTTGCCACCGGGTCAAAAACCGTACGTGTAGTCGTGCTCATTTGAGGAAGTTGGGGTGGGGTGGGGTGGGGTGGGATGTTAACGTTCATTGCGACTGCAACCACATAGTACGTTCTCTTGCAATTCCACACATACGTCATGCTACGCTGCTGCACGTTCTCTTGCACTTCCACACATACGTCATGCTACGCTGCTGCACGTTCTCTGGCACTTCCACACATACGTCATGCTACGCTAGATGATCTTCACTTGCACTTCATGCTACGCTAGATGATCTTCACTTGGGGGTGGGGTAGGGTGGGATGTTAACGTGCATTGCGATTGCAACCACATGGTACGTTCTCTTGCATTTCCACACATACGTCATGCTACGCTGCTGCACGTTCTCTGGCACTTCCACACATACGTCATGCTACGCTAGATGATCTTCACTTGCACTTCATGCTACGCTAGATGATCATCACTTGGGGGTGGGGTGGGTTGGGGTGTTAACGTGCATTGCGACTGCAACCACATGGTACGTTCTCTTGCACTTCCACACATACGTCATGCTACGCTGCTGCACGTTCTCTTGCACTTCCACACATACGTCATGCTACGCTGCTGCACGTTCTCTTGCACTTCCACACATACGTCATGCTACGCTAGATGATCTTCACTTGCACTTCATGCTACCCTACATGATCTTCACTTGCACTTCATGCTACGCTAGATGATCTTCACTTGCATGGCTTCATCGAAGCCGATGGCACCAGCGTGCGTCATTTTCGCATGGGTACTGACCTGGTCTATGAACAATGGTATGGCATGGTGCAGAGAGCTCCTGAAGATGAAAGGTCAAGGAAGATCCTGATTTTTCCATTGGGACACGCCAAAGCGAAAGCTCTTGGCAAGCCCCCGCCGGAGAGCTACAGAAAAATTAAAGCTGCCGGAGCATTTGCTTTTGTGGGTAAAAACCGAAATGGAACATCTTCTTGCTTGTTGACAGATGGTGCTCCCTGCTACCCAAAGGTAGCAAAAGAGTGCCGTGCGAAACATTTCTTTATAAACCATAGTGCTGGGGAATTCCAACGCACAGAAAGATTTCGAAACAGAGCCTTGAGTGTTCACACAGGCACCATTGACAGCTGCTGGACGCAAATGAAAACGTATATTCCAAAGTCACTCAGCTCTCAGTCAAAACAAATACCTTTGCGTATCCGCAGTTGGCAATGGAGGTTCACACATGCTGAGCATGATAACTTGTTTCAACTCTGTGGCACTCAAGTTGCCAAGTTGTAGGCAAGACAAGTCAGCGAGTAAAAAACGCACGCCGCTGTGGAAATAGACACATCGGATCCCAGAGATGCATCCGTGGAGGACACGGCATTTTGACAAAAATTGCTTGTCGCTGAGGTAAAACACACAAAAAACAGAAAACGCAACCAGAATTAGACATTTTTCATCATCGCCAGAGACAAAATCACTGGTAAATCCCAGTGTTGCTCATCAGTGCCGAGAGGTGAATTGCTAACGCCTACACGTTCCATTCCCGCCCCGGCGGGATGTTTTTGCACAAGGTTTTCGAGCAACACATTGATCGTGATTTAATGAATTTGTTGTTTTGCACCTTGGAAGGCCGGGTCCTTTACATTTTAAGTCTAGCATCACGAAAAGGATCTCTATCCATGAATTTTTTTCCGGCGAAATTCGGGACAATTTCCGCTATTTTGGAAAAACCAGGGCTGGAAACAAAGGCCCTTGGTGGCCCGTGCTTTTGATTTTGTGTCGCCCGTTGCGCATTGGATGGCGGGCCCGGATCGCCAGTAAACACTGTGCGCAATCACTCCGAATTCATCTGGTGAACCAAGCTGTGGTTTGCCAGCTATTTCGTTCTCGATGGACCGCACCTCCCCTAACACAATTTATCTAAAAACCCTTCCTTGCAGCGAACTGTCGGTTTTGGCATCATGATTATTTCAGAGGTTTGGCCCGTGAGCATGTGCAACGATTGTTCTGAAGAGCCACCAATGTCAACTGCAACGTGTATTTGCAGCATATCTGTTGGCACCTACTAACCAATCGTTTGCCATTAATCACCGTGGGTCTACATCACCGAATCATGTTGTTTTCCGCGTATATATACATATACATATACATATACATATACATATACATATACATATACATATACATATACATATACATATATGATTTATTGTAATATTTACATTTATATCTATATTTATTTATATTTATTTTATATTTATATTTATATTTATATTTATATTTATATTTACATTGATATATATATATATATTGTGATATATATTATTTATCGTTATATTTATCTTCACGCGTGTTTTGTGTTGGTCCCCATTTGGACGAAAATTTCCGGCATCCTCCTTGCCGCGCATGGTGGGTTGAGACCTCGTTTTTGGTTCAAATTAGCATTCAACATTTGATCCACCTCAAATTCGTTTCCATCAGACGCTTGTGAAACCGGTGATGTGGCTATACTTTGTTGCACTGCAAAAGAAAATGTTGAAGGTGTGCACCATTTGTTTGGGCAGAGCATACTGGGGAAGTCGGTGACAGGGACGAATCACTTGCCAAATGAAGCGTCATCGATGTTGATGATCGTGATTTGCTAAAATGGAACTTGCACAATGTGATTGGTTGGCTGCGCGCCAAGTAGGTAGCACGATTATGCGCATGGTTGTTTGCAGACACCTTTTCAGCGACGCTGATTTCCATGCCTTGTTGCAGTACGGCTTTGGGAAAACATCACAGACGTTTGACTTTGCAGCATGTGCGTTTGATATTCGCAAAAACAACTGTCATACATTTTTGGATCAAATGGACCGAGTCGTCACATTTTTCGCGCCGGTCAACGCAGGTCGTCTATTTGGGTGGAATTTATCAAACTGGCCGTCTACTCAAACATGGAGACAATTTCAGTTTACGACTCGATGTGGAACGGCTGTGTTTGCGGAATTTTCCGTTAGTTTGCGGATGATTGTTGCCGACAGCCATTACGACCTTGACATAAGCACATGGAAGTTTTGCGCGATTATCCTTTGGTTGTCGCCTACTTCATTCTTTTCACGGGTTTCGAAACATTTATTTCGACTGTATGTTGGCAGACAGAAAAAACAAAGAATCACAGCCTGAACAAACATCGGGAACAAACAACGATACTACTTCCCGACGTGAGACGATCGTAAAAAAGAACGTCAATGGATCGGATGTCGGAAATGTGGACCCTTCAACTGCTCATACGTTGAGGCAAAAATTGCACCAAAGAGCGTGACAACCAATTTGTTTCATTTTTGTGCAACGTTGGTGCACAAACCTCTGAAACTCAATTTTTTGGAAGAAAAACATCCAAAGACCAAGCGGAGTTTCGCATCACTGGCATGACGGATTCGTCTGCCATTTCTGAAAACCTGTGTGCTAAATCGCTGGAATGGCCTATATCCAACGAGGGTTTTGAAAGTTTCGGACCGCGTTGGTTTCATATCGTTGTTTGATTTTTTACGTTTGCAAAATGATTATGCACAATTTTGCATGTGGGCATTGTAGCCCATGTGAGTAAATGTTTAGTAAGGAAATTTGCATCAAAGGTGCAGTCAACAAGTAGCAATCAGTACACGCTACAAGCATTCTATTTCGATTTTG